GTGAGGGACAGTTAAGAATCGAGTAAGGAAGGGCTGGTTGCTGCCAATAGGAGAGAGAGATAGTCCTCGCTAAGAGCTCATACCGTTTGGCTATTTTCCTAGTAATGAACAATCATTTTGTTACGTTTTGACTAATTGAATTTTGTTGGGTTTGTATCATCAATAGGGTGCAGAGATGGAAGTATCTACTTAGATGCATGCTCTTTCGTATTTTAAAGCTGACATAGTGTACACATCTATTCTTTCCTATTTCCCCCTTCTGTTCTTGTGGGTCACATCTATCTATTCATTAAGCTTCTGGCAAGAGTGATTCTATTTTTTTTCTTGTAAAATGTTTCAATATGTGCTGTTTTTCCACAGTAGGTGGTTGTTAGATATAATTTACAAGTAATTTAATCTACGAGTCAAGTTGGTTATCTAGTGATTGATTGAGGATCAGGAACTAGAGATAGATGCCCCAGCAATCTGTTGCATTTTGCCTTTTGTTTTTCATTATCTTCTCTTCTTTCCCTTTTTACTAGTTGAACTCATGATTGAGATACTATCTCCTTTATGACGTTACATGATGGGTCAGATATTCATCGTGCAGGAAGTGAGATTTCGTTCTTCAAAAATGGAGTATGCCAAGGGGTAGCTTTTACAGATCTGAATGGAGGTCGTTATTACCCTGCAGCTTCAATGTACACTCTACCCAATCAACCAAATTGTGTCGTCAAGTTCAACTTTGGCCCTGATTTCGAATTCTTTCCTGAGGACTTTGAGGGGCGCCCTTTGGCACAGCCCATGGTCGAAGTACCTTACCACGGGTTTGACAACCAAGCCGAAAATGGAGTTTCGAGTGAGAAAAACACAGTAGTTACCAAGTAGTACCATTTTTTAACCACACCAACCACTGCCTGAGTTGATTTTTTTTTCCTTTTAGTTCATGTGCATTAGGACTGATGGATGGAAGGATGAGTGGTGTAAATTTTTCTAGCTACAATCAGCAGAAGAGAGCAATTTTCTATGTGAGATGTAGAGAGACACAGTGCAGGATCCCAACAATATTTATATAATTTGATTGGGTTTCTTCCAATTCCATAATTCAAAGTTGCATTGATTATTCTTATTTGATTGGGAAGCTAATGATCTGATTTCATTTTGATCCAAAACAGCTAAGTAGATAATTTTGTAAGAGATGAGATGTCACAGTGATATCATATGAATGGTTTTTTCAATTAGCATAGTTAAGATACCGATCTCCTATGCTCAGATACCTATCTCCGATCAATAAATCGTGAGTTCGAATCTCCACACAGCTGTTGTTCTAAAAAAAATATAGGCGTACATCATCGCAATTTAGCAACTATGTGGGAAATTAGAAAAAAAGGGCAAAAGGGATGCAATTATTTTAAACTGTAATGGCCAATTGGCAGTTACTTAAATGTTGGAGACTGGTGAAAAATAAATTAAAACACAAGAAAATTAAATAAATAATAGAATATTTTAGCAATGTAAAAGTTATTTAGGTCAATTATTATTACAACTTAAAAGACGAAAAGTGTTACTTAAAGACATCACTATTTCTTACTAGGCTTTTCATTTGGTTTTGGGAGGTTTGTAGGGGCTGTCCATGTTATATGAGTAAAAAAATTTCTAAATTCTGATAAATAAAAATTTAGTTCTTAAATTTTTAGATTAAATTAGAATTTTAGATCGCGAGCTTTTCAAGTTTTCAAGTTTATATTTAATAGGTTCTTAAACTCAAAAAAGTATATAATAAATTTTTGAAGTTTCAATTTTGCATCCTACGAACTTTAAAAAGTGTCTAATAATATTTAAGTTTTCAACTTTGTGTCTAATAATTCACTGAATTTTTAATATCTATCAAGTCTAATCGACTCAATTTTTTTTAATTCATGAACATTTGACATAAAATAAAAAATTAATAATATGCTCGACACGAAATTGTTCAGGAATTTATTAAACACAAACTTAAAAATTCAAATACTAAACTTGTTTGATTTCCCAGTAAGTCAGAAAGATAATAAATAAATAAAATGAGTGGAAGGAAAGCGACTTCAAATGTTCAAAAGGTCATTTTCAATACGATATATTGCAATATCGAAATGTAAAAATCCAAGCAACTTATGAAAATTTAAGTTCCAACCCGTTCTAGATGACTTCAAATAAAGCAAATGAGCAAAAAAATAAAACCCAAAAATATCTAAGTAAAACTACTCTTTTACATTCTGTTTTTTTTTTTCCTTGCAATGCAAAGATCCAAGCAATAACTTATGAAAATACAAGTTCCAAAACATTCAATACCATTATATGTTCTAAACAATTTCAAGTGAAAGAAAAACAAGAATATCTATGGGAAATGATCCTTACGTTTGCCAAAATCCAAGCAACAATCTATGAAAACGCAAGCTCCAATCCATTCAACATCATCTTTAGAATCAAATAACTTTATTCCACATATTTTATATGTACAATGTTAATCAATTAATACAATGGAATGGAGTATTTGTCCATAATTGAAGGGAAGTTGTTTTCTAAGTAAGACAGGTTTTCTTGATTTAAAGTTACAAAATCAAAACCAGTTACAACATATTCGAAAAACTTAATTATATTACGTCGAACTGGCGTTGATTCTACAATTACAATTCGCCAAGGTTTGGACATGTTCAGGTGACCCACCTTGTCTATCAAGGGATTGTTGATAATGCCATGTTGAGTTCAAGACTTTAACACCTAAGAAAATATCATTATTCAAAGGCATTAAAATAAACCAAAAGAGCCAAATAAAAACAAAAAAAATGCAAGACCAATGAACTATTTAACATTAACCAACAAACCATGAAAGTAGAAGTTCAAAGTCATTGAATAGCAATAAAATGTTCAAAATGGCTTGAAGTAAACCAAAAGAGTCGAAGCAAAGCAAGAAAAATGCGAGGCCAATGACTTTAACATTCTTTTTTTTTTTCTTGCAATAACTTGCATTGCCAAAATCAAGCAACAAGCCATAAGTTCAAAGTCATTGAATAGCACTAAAATATTCCAAATAGCTTGAAGTAAATCAAAAGAGTCGAGCAAAACAAGAAAAATGCGAGGCCAATGATTGTTTAACATTCTGTTTTTTCATTCCAATAATCTGCAATGCAGAAATCAAGCAAAAAACCAGAAAAGCACAAGTTCAAACTGATTGAATAGCCCTAAAATGTTCCAAATGGATTGCAGTAAACCAAAATAGTCCAAGCAAAATAAGAAAAATGCAAGGTGACATATTACGCCAACAGGTATGAGTATATGCATTCAAAAGATATGATATACAAAACAACGAATCGTTATAAGTTAAAGTTGAAGATAAAAACTTCAGGGCTTTTACCAAATAGAAAGATTATGTTGGTTGCTGCTAATTTGTTTTATGGGAGAAACAATAGAATCGAGAAGAAAATTCAATTTACAGAAACACTAACCTTTTCTTAGCTGCCCAACTTTCAGATTGATTTATTTCACATTAGGAATCCGCATCATACATCTCTTGGCACTTTTGAAACTGTGCACAATTGACACAGTAAGAACACCTTGCATCACCTATTGCCATATCACAGTTTGCTAAATAACGTAACACATACCGAAATAGATTCTTGTCGATGCCTTGAACTGCACTGAGTTCCAAAAGATGTCACTGTATACATGAAAAGAGAATTGATTTTGTGGTTCGTTCCTTATTATGTTTTTCAATCTGATGCCAAGAATATGAAGATAATATCAGAAAAGGAAAAATGTCTAGTAGCCCATCAACTTAATGACTTCTGAAGTAAAGATAAATTGCAGAAAGTAACATACCTGAAAGCCAAAATATTTTTGAATGTATGTGCAAACACTATCGTTGGTCCGAAGTTCAGGACAAGTGAGGATCGAACTTTTTTCCATTTTGATTGCTAATGTGGCCCTTGAAATGATCCTCGAGATCCCTATGAAGTTGTATAGTCTGAGGTATGAGACACTTTCAAGCAACACTGAAAGAAATTGATTCACAAGGCACTCCAACCGGTTCTCTTCTCCACCCCTCTTTCCTTCATTATGACACGCACTCTTTCGACCTCCTCCCACCTTCCCAAGCAGCCGTACAAGTCAGACAGTATTATATAGTACCCATCATTTTCTGGATCAGATTCAATTGCATGCCTGGCAATCCTTACCCCCATTTCAAATTCATTGTGAAGTTTACAAGCACTTAACAAGGAGCCCCACACAGTGCCATCCGGAGAGATGGGCATTGATAAAACCAGAGTCTCTGCCTCTTGAAGACTACCTGACCTGCCAAGAAGATCTACCATACTAGCATAGTGCTTCAGACTGACTTTGACACCATATTTCTGCATCCTATCAAAGAGACGCCTTCCTTCTTCAACGAGCCCTCCATGATTGCAAGCTGAGAGAAGAGAAAGAAAGGTTAGCGAATTTGGTTTGACATTTGACTCCTCCATTAGTTCGAAGATCTCAATTGCAGATTCTGCATGTCCGTGCATCCCATAACTTGATATCATAACATTCCATAAAATAACATCCCTCTCTTCCACTGCGTTGAACAATTTTCTTGATGTCTCGAGCTCTCCGCATTTTGCATACATATCAATCAATGAAGTTCTAATGGTTATATCAGTCCCATATCCATTCTCCCTTATGTACTGGTGGATCCTTTCGCCTTTATCTAAGGATGCAAGATGAGCACATGCCGAGAGAACTATTACACATGTAATGGCGTTGGGTTTAAGGTTATTTTTGATCATTTCATCAAATAAGACAATGGCTTCAGCAGGATGCCCACTTTGCTTGTAGGATGAGATCAATGTATTCCAGGAGATAATATCCCTTTGCTGTGTTCTATGAAATATCCTCCATGCGGTGGTTAAATTACCACTTTTCCCATACATGTCAAGGAGTGAGTTAGCTATTGATACATTTTCAATTATAGAGTTTTTAATCGCATAGCAGTGTATGGACCGACCAATATTGACTGCCCCAACTTGTGAACATGAAGAAATTACAGAAGCTAAACTGATCAAATCAGGTCCTATGCCTAGAAGTTGCATGTCCCTGAAAAGGTCTATACACTTCTCTTTCTGCCCCATATTGCTATATCCTGATATCATAGTGTTCCAATCTTCTTTGCTACTTTTGTGGAAACTATGGAAGATCTTCTCTGTAGTATTTAAGAGTCCAAACTTACAGTACATTGAGAGTAATGCATTATGAGTTATTTCACTCACCGCATAACATTGTCTCAGAATCCAACCATGAAAGGCTTTTCCTTCAGAGGTTCTATCAGAATTACCAAAACCCAGAACCATACAACTGATAGCAATTTCATCTGGGATGATTTCATCAGCCTGCATTTCCCAAAATAAACTTAGACATTCAGTCATTAACCCAAATTTAGCGTGAACTGCAATAATTGATGTCCAGGAGATAAGATCTTTTTTGTTTAATTTGCAAAAGCAACGGTAAGCTTCTTCAGGTGACCCGCACCTCGAATACATAGAGAGAAGACAAGATTTAATGACTTCAAAACACAGAATTCCAGTTTTTAGAGCCAAACCATGTAAACATCTGCCCTCTACTAAAGCATCCAGATCAACACAAGCTTGAAACCCGCTTCCTAATGTCCTATAATTTGGGGCCCCTCCATACCTATGCATATCAAACAGGCATTTCAAACCCTTCTCACTTTCATTATTCTGGACGTGCCCAACTATAAGCGCAGTCCAAGCAACTACATCTTTAAGCGTAATTTCATCAAACAGAAGAGATGCACTTTCTGTATGACCACATTTGGAATACATATATACTAAAGAAGAACCAACAGCAGAATTACCATAAAATAGCCCAAGTTTCAAAGCTAACCCGTGAATGTTCATGCCATGGTTGAGCATCATTAGTTCAGCGCACGTGGAAAGCACCATGGGAACTGTAAATTGGTTTGGTAGGCTACTTGAGGCTCGCATCTGGAGGTAGAAACCGAATGCCTGCAAGTAGTCACCATTGGAGAAGTGGGATTGGATAATGGAATTCCAAAGAAATCCGTCTTTAGGATGAATTGAATGAAACAAATGGGTGGACAATGCGGGTTGCCTGTGAGAAGCATAAAAGGACATGAGCTTCGTAGCAAAGAAGACATTTTTCGAGTTGCCAGTGGTGATAATCAAGGAATGAAATTGAAGAAGAGATTTGAACGCTAAAAATTGTTTTGAGAGAAAGATGTGAAAACAACTGTTAAGATAGCAAGGATCTAAAAGTGAGCTGAACGGTGAAGAGGAAGAAAAGCGTATGTGAAATTGGCTCGGCCGGAGTCTAAGCATTGAAACTCCTCCAGTGCTATTACTTCCAACTACTGGGGTTTTCCTAATATATAATGATTTTGTGATTAGCAATTTCGTATCGATGTATTCCAAAGTTTGATAAATTTCTCTGCAGTTGAATGTAAATAAATTGTAATAAGCTTAAACTAAAACATACTAAAATTGTAAGTATGTTTAAACGAAGCCCATCGATTTCCTTGTATAGGCCATTCTCGCGTCTCTTCTTTACACCATAAGCTGGAGTTCGCCGCCGTTGCTTGAAGCAAACTCATTGGAGTTCACCGCTGTTATTCACGTGTGCTGCGGCCTGCAAGGAAGAGATTTTGCAATTGTAACTACTATTTTTTTTTCCTGGAATATATTGCAATGCCAAAATGAAGCAACAAACCATAAAAGCACAAGGTCCAAGCCATTGAATAGCTCTGATATGTTCCAAAGACCTTGAAATAATATAAAAGATTCAAAATCAAGGCAAATGACACTTTTTAACATACTGTTTTTTTTCCCTTGCAATAACATGCCATATATTGCTATGCTAAAATGAGCACCAAACCATGAAAGCACAAATTTCAAGCCATTTAATAACACTAAAATGTTCTAAATGGCTTGAAGTAAACAAAAAGAGTCGAAGCAAAACAAGAAAAATGCGAGGCATTACAGGGTGGTTTCATCAAGGAAAACACTAGAGTTATTGGTGCACATTGTGGAAGGAAAGAAACAGCGAGTCTTCAACAACAGAGCACGTTCTTTTGATTCTTTTTATAATTGCGTACAAATTACCGCTTCTTCTTGGTGCCTTAACCACAAGGTGTTTTTTTTTGGAACTACAATCCAACAATGCTTATACAAAATTGGAAAGTTGTACTTCACTATTTTTTTCTTTTGTAAGGCAGGGGCTCACTCATCCCCGGCCACTAGGCTGTTCTTTCCCATCAATACAATTCTCTATTTCTTATTTAAAAAAAGAAACAAAAAAGAAAAAATGAGGCCGATGACTATTTAACATTCTGTTTTTTTTTTCTTTGCCATATATTGCAATAACTTGCCATACAAAAATCAAGCAACAAATCAGAAAAGCACAAGTTCAAAGTCAATCAATAGCACTAAAATGTTCCAAATGGATTAAAGTAAACCAAAAGAGTCCAAGCAAAACAACAAAAAATGCGAGACCGATGTCTTTTTAACATTATGTTTTTCTTCTTGCAATGCCAAAATTAAGCAACAAACCAGAAAATCATAACTTCAAAGTCATTGAATAACACCAAACTATCCAAATGGCTTGAAGTAAACCAAAAGAGTTGAAGCAAAACCAGAAAAATGAGAGGCTAATGACTATTTAACATTTTGTTATTTTTTTCCCTTGCAATGCCAAAATCAAGCAACAAAAATTCAAGCTATGAAGAATAAAACTCAAACTACGAAGCCGACAACACTTAGAAGAGAAGGAAGAAAATCAAGGCGACGAAGAAGAACTAAAACGGTGTTCGGATTAAGTTACCGAGTAAGAACAGCTCACAGGAGTTCGCCACTGGGAGATTTCGCGACTGTCACCAGACGTTCGCCGTGATCGTCGGCTGGAAGTTAGCCGCCGTCGCCTCAGTCCGCCTCCGATTCCCTCCTCAGTCGCCGGAAAAAAATGGGTATTTTTTTGGAGGATTCGTCTGCGTGCATGATAGAGTGTAGAAATTTGTTGGGATTTCAATTTTGAGAAGATTTAAAAGGGCAATAGAGTCTTTTCACATCCCAAAAATAAATAGTCCTTTCAAATTAAACTTTCGGCAATTTCCCAGCCAAAATACCCTCGTCGCCTCGTCTCTGCAAATCGAACGCCTTCGCCGGCGGCGCCACCACTTCACTCTCTCCTCTATCCCGGCGGCCATCTCTCTCTCTCTCCAACCCAAGGAATCATCTCACTTTCACCAAAAAAACCCGCAGCAGCAGCAGCCAATATTCTCCAACCCAAGCTCTTAATCCACTTCAAACCAGAAGAAGAAGGACGCACTGGTTATCTCTCCCGCTTCAGCGCTACATTGTCGGTAAGTTCTAAATAAATAGAACCCACCAAATATTATCGCTTGTTACTTCAATTGGTTCGTTGTTTCAGTCAGATGTGTACCTCTGATACTGTATAGTTTGCATTTACAGGAAAAAAGAAGAAGAGGGTGCATTGAATGGAGCATAGGTTAGCCAACGCGTGGCGTCTCTCTGCGAACGAGAAGAAATTCATCGAAACAGCCCTTCTTTCGGATTTGAGGGTCGATGGTCGCCGCCCTTTTGATTACCGCAATCTCACTATCAACTTTGGCAAGTAATGTTTCTCACATGTTTCTTTTTGTTTAAAGTTATGTCTTTTCCTTTTCTGGTGTGATTTTTGTTGGGGAATAATGATGAATTTTTTTGCAGGGATGATGGTTCTTCAGAGGTGCAGCTTGGCCAGACTCATGTAATGGGCTTTGTGACTGCTCAGCTAGTTCAACCGTACAGGGACCGTCCTAATGAGGGCACTCTCTCTATATATACTGAGTTCTCTCCAATGGCTGATCCCTCGTTTGAGCCTGGCCGTCCTGGAGAGTCTGCTGTTGAGTTAGGGCGTGTAATAGACCGCGGTCTACGGTAATTATCTTTTTGGTTCTTTTTATTTGCTTCCCGCCGTATGCTGTCATTGAATTCTTTGCGTGAATCGTGAGTAGCAGGTGTTTACCTCTAGTTCTGTTAATTTATTGCATGATGCTAGTGCAAATGGGGCATCCGAGGGTAGAAGAAAGGTGTTGTTTTGACTTTGTTATTTTTATAATCTGGTGCCTGGCGTATATGGATATTTCTCATTCCTGATCAGTGATGCTTTTAGCTCTATTCCAAATTGATATGTGATTAGTCTTTTCTTGATCGTGTCGACAATCTGTTGAATCCCCAAAAAAAGGGATCTGCACAGTCATCATATTTTCCAATAATGTCTCTACCCTGGTTAAGTGGAATTGTGCATTGAATACTAATGTTGTTGGTTCTTAATTGATGAGACAAACACTGAGTACTGACCACATTAATGTTGTATGGAACTAACATGACATGTCTATATATTATTCCGTTACTTAATCACCAACAAATTTAGCTATCAAGCTATGCTCCTGTTGTATTGACTAACTAATAGACAGAGGGTAAATAGAGTTGAATGCTTCTCTAGCTTCACAGTCACTGTCAGTTAGTAAACTATAACATTACATTAAGCTACACATTGTAATTTAATGTTGGAGGTACTGATGCAGGGAGAGTAGGGCAGTGGATACAGAATCACTTTGTGTTGTTTCCGGCAAGTCTGTATGGGCCATCCGAGTTGATCTCCACATTCTAGATAATGGGGGGTAAGCTTTTGAATTTCTAATATTTTATTTTATTTTAATTTTCTTATTGTTATAGTGACACTAATGATTGGTATTTAACAATCCTGCAAGCAGAAACCTTGTGGATGCAGCTAATATTGCTGCTTTGGCTGCTCTCTCAACTTTCCGAAGACCTGAGTGCTCATTGGAAGGAGATGATGGTCAGGAAGTGATAGTTCATCCCCCTGAGGTCAGCTCTTCAAAATTTTGTTGGAAAATTCTTGAAGTGCATCCTGTTCGAATGATGTGACATTATTTACTTAAATGCATTGTTATATACGAAGACAACATTTGTTTTTAAATCCCACATGTGATCAGGAAGATTATCTTTTTGATACATTTGATGAATTTAACTTAGATTTTGGTCTCGTTTTACTTCCTAAAAGTTATTTTCTAGGTCGATCAGTTTTTTTTCTTCCCTTTTTTTTTTGTTGGGGGTTGGAGTGGGGTGGGAAGGGACTCTTGGTTTCAAGGAACATTAAATTGTATGACTTATTAGATAAAGCTTAGTATCGTTTAAGATCAGACATTAAGATTTGGGTAAATTGTCTTATTTCTAAATCCTTACTAGTTAACTGCCAAGTCTAGTAACTGGTGTTTGAGTTTAAGGTCATATGTCTTAGGGGAGACTTTCAAATGAACGAGATGAGAGAGACAGGGTGAGATTGTAAGAAGGCTGAGAGAGCTAAGGTTTTGTTGGTTGTAGAGTAGAAGGTGTTTGAGTTTAAGGGCAAGGATCCAGTGAGAAAGGTCAAGTTGGCTGAGAGGTTAACTGGAACCTACACCAGATCCTTCTATTGCGATTTTTTAACAGACAATTCCTTCCTTTCTATTTTGAAGGAATTCTTTCGATCATTTAAAACCATTGGAAGATCAATGGTGATCTGTAGCACTGTAGTCCTTTAAATATCTTAAATGAGACATATTAATATTATATTTTCAAATATTTTATGCATGATCGATGGCTTTTCTTATTATTATTATTTTTTTGCAATTTCAGTAATTGACGGAAAATTCATATTTTCTATTGACATCAGCAGTTTTATGTATTGTTAACCTCATACATTCTGCTTTGACATCCACATGTTTATCCTTAGTCTTACGATTTAAATTCTTTTGTGTGAAACAAATTATTATGTTTGGGTTTATCTTCTGTCCTAACTGCCTGTATCCTTGAATTTATCATGTGAATGTTGCTATTTGCAGGTTAGGGAGCCGCTTCCTTTGATTATACACCATCTCCCTATTGCAGTAACCTTTGCTTTTTTCCGTAGTGAGAGCACTCTGGTAGGCACAAGTTCTTTCTATTTATTGTATTGAGGACACAGTTATATAGCAGGGTTCTCTAATGTTGGGGTGCTATGCAGGTAGTAGATCCAACTCACTATGAAGAGGCTGTTATGGGGGGAAGGATGACCGTCACACTTAATGCTAATAACGATGTTTGTGCTATTCAAAAAGCTGGAGGCGAGGGTGTACTTCAGAGCATGATCATGCAATGTCTGCGAATTGCTAGTGTCAAAGCTGGTGATATTACAACTAAAATAAAAAATGCAGTGAGCTTCTTTTTTCTGAATTGTTTTTGAAAAAGAGTTCATGCGACTCCTGCTTCTCTGTAGTCCAACATCTTGCTTAGGCTTAGGGTGAAATCATTATCTTGTATTAAGAAACCAGCTTAATTAAGGTAAATGATAGAACAAATGGAAGGGCCTACAAACAAGAATGATTTACACAAAGGAGCAAAAGAAAAAATGGAGAAAATGGAGGGAAAAAAATGATGAAACAAACAAGAGATCTAACTGAACCATCCTCATTGGTCCAAGAGACCAAGGTAAATCAAAAGGATTTAGAGGGGATGGGTTCAAATCTCATGATGGTCACCTACCTGGGAAATTAATTTTCTATGTGTTTCCTTGGTAACCAAATGTAATAAGATTAGGGTGTTGTTCAGTGAGATTAGTCGAGATGCGTGCAAGCTGGCTCGAACACTCTTGAAAACTCACGGAAAAAAAATAAAATAAAAGGTCTAACTATTAAGAATATTAAGGAAATAATAGGATAATTATACACTTAAAAACCTAGAGGCATTGATATATGCAAGTGTCCCATACCTTTTCCCAAGATTTCTATGTACCTCTAAAGATTCTCCTATCTAATCTCGTTCCATAAATTCCACAAAATAGCAAAGAACGTCACCTGCCAAATAATACAGCCGTCTTTTTGCTATAATTCAATTCAATTTTTATTGTTCTGATATTTTGTGGCTAGCACATATAGGATCTCTTTTTACTCATTTCTACAACTTTATATAGGTTGAAACTTACAACTCAGCTAGACAATTGCGAAAGATTAAGAGACACCCTTCTGTTAATTTGGATGTCGGTGGAGGTGTGGCTGGTGTGGCTAATATGAAGAATAGCCAAGGTGTATCTGATGGACAAAAGAGTATCAATGAATTTTCTGACAGATTGAAATTGAATTCTCAAGAGAGCATGGCCAGTCAAAGTGGGAGCACTGAGAGTGACATTGTATCTACAAATCAAGGACAAATAATTAAGAGAGATTTGGATGCTAAGAATTTCATTGGGGGCCCTTCGAGCTGGTAAGGTGTCACCTTGATTATGTTTGCATTTCCTTAGTTTTGCCCAATTTTTATGTCGACAAGAATAATATTTTTTCTCTTATGTTGTCTAGCATTTTTTTTAATATATTCCCCCAACAGAAAATCTTAGGTGTGAAGCTGTCTTACTATTTCAAACGTTATTTACAATCTTAGAAGGGAGAAATGCAGTAAGAGAGAGGAGATTTTTTTCCCATAAAAAAATGAACAGCTGTCAAATTTTTAGTAATATTTTGGAAGTTTCCTCCTAACCAGTCATCAGTTGGGAGTTAAGTATTATTCTTAACAATAATGGATACTAAGACGAAGTGATTATACAATACTGAGAGGAAAATGGCGTGTGGTAAAAAATAGCCTAACAGTTTATCTTCAGGAATTTGTTTTTCTCAACCTCCATTCTTTTTTCAGGGACCCTTACTCCAAAGGCGTTGATTCGGATTACTTGAAATCTACTTTAGCTTCACGCGGTACTTTACCATGACATTAGAATTCTTATTTTGCTTTAAGTTTCTCATCATGTTTATATTCTTCTCTGAAACAGTTACTTCATATCCATTTTTGGTCGATGTAGTATATATGGATGAAGTATGAATATTATCTTAATTAGTTTTCAATAGTATTAGTTGCAACTTCATTGGGTGACTGATGCAGGACAGCTTTAAAATCTTGTGCTTTGTGGCTGTCTTTAGGAAGAAGACTTATTGCTATTATGTGATGTAATATGAAGAATAGTTGCTGTATTGGTGACGAATAATGGAGAAAAGTCGTATAAAAAGCAGGCAAGAAGAACAAACATGGAGAGAGAAGTGAAGTTATAAGCATAAGCAACTAGTACTCGAATATGACTCATCTTATTAATTTACTCGAATATGACTAATCTTATTAATTGAGTCTTAATCTTGTTTAGGTAGAATATGCTTATTCATGAAGGCTAACTACCTACCTATTCTCTCAAGGATTGGAAATTTGGAATAGTTAGTTTAAAGACTTTTTGAACATCAGATTCAGGACTCCTAACTAGACATAAGCTTAGAAATCTGACTCAGGTTAGGGTAAAACAAAAAATTATAGGAAAATCAACTCATATCAAGATAAAAATAGACATAACTTCAGCCTTTCTTGACTCCAATTATCTTAACATGTGTTCTACAATCTAACACCATAAGGAACTCTTCGATATCTTTGGAATCCTATACCTTTTCTGTTCTTCTAGAGACGGAGAGGAGAGGGCAAAAAAACTGTGGAAGAGCTATTTCCATTCTTATCTAACTTTATCATTGTTGCATAGTTGGTATGTATTTTTCAGGAACAAATATCTAAGCATATTATCCCAAGGGATTCAGTAAAACTTATGCTTTTTTTGTCTTGGTTTCAACTAAGGATTCATATTCTTTGTTCTCAGTCATAGCTCCCTACTTTCTTTCGGCGTTGATGACTGCAGTTGTTTTCTGATAATGAGGAGAGTTCACGAGAGTGAGAGTTCAAGTGTATGTGTATGTAAACTTTCTGATTAGGCTTTTCTTACGCTAGCTTCTTGTTGCAGGAAATCCAACCATGATGAAGAAACAAAAGGACTCGAGTGTTGAAACAATGTCCTCCGAGGAGCTCGGTGAACAAGTCAAAGATAATCAGGCAGATTTACCTCTAGCAGCTGCTAAAACTTTGTCAGAAGAAAACAGGAAGAAGACCCTGAAAGATGCCGTGAAGCCGAAGAATAAGAGGAAAAAGAAGTCCACCCCCAATGTTGCAGATTAATACACTGGTGACAAGATCTTTTGGAATGTATGTTCTATTCTCCTGTTCTTCATGGATTCTTGCATTTATGTGTGATTAATGTTCTTCATTTTGTATTCTTCTTTCAGTTTTTGAAAATCTCTCTTAACATGCAATTTGCTTGTATAGTTTCCCGGAGGATGTGAGTTTTGAAGCTCGATTTTGAAGTTCGAAGAAGAGATCAATTGAGAACAAGTGACGGTTCGTGCCAGATTTCATCAATGTTTACTCGACGAAACGTGATACTTGAGGTAGTTGAGATCGAATGAAGTCTGGATTTGGATCAACTCTAATTATTGAGAAAATAGTGATGCTGTTGAAAAGGCCCTTGTGCTATGGAACTGCAATTTCAATCAATCACTCTCCAAACGTGGAGTATATACTTCATACAGAATCTTAGGCTTTGCTATTTTCTGATTGTAAGTTTTGGCTGCTGTATTGAGATTATTTTTTATATTATTGAAGAAACTTTTTTTTATTTTTATCCATATTATATTGATTGTAAACTTCCGTTTCATAGTATACATATATTTGGAAAGGAAAAAAAGTGCTATTCATTAGATTCTTCCCCCCAAAATGAAGTTGACTTATGAGGTTACGAGTTATGAGTTTTGAGTAAGGATATTTTTAAAACAACCAATAAACTTGAAGGTACAACTGGACTTCTCTTTAAAATTTTAAGAACTGATTTGAGATTGAGAATAATTGAGTATATTATTTGCAATTTGTCCTAGAAATAATAATGTTGGAAATGTTCTATAAGGACTTTGTTCCTAGCCAAGGAATAGAGAATTTTATTACGGTTCTTAATAGGATTATTTACTTTCATGTCTTTTGCGTTGGGTTTATGCGACTCGAGATTAAGAAATCAAGTTTATATTTATTACGTGGGTTAACTTATTCAAGTTAATCTCAATAGTTGCATAATTTTATGTACGTTATCTAGATTTGATTTGCATATGTTAGATGAATATGATAAATTTCGATGGTAGAGTTCAGTATCGATTTATTGGTTTTTTTTTCTTTCAATGGTAATCTAATTGATCAAATAATTTAAAACTTAATCAATAGCAACGGTTAGAAAAATTCTTCAAAGTATATTAATTTTCAGTAATCCAAATTTAAAATAGTTAAACTCGAATTTCCACCTAACAAATATTTCAAGCAATAAAATCTAACACAAAGCAATTAATAGGTAGGTGTCACAAGAATAGGTTCAAAGATAAATAAATAAAGGAGATAAAAGGATGGAGAATTTCATTCAGCTCAAGCAATTCATGTCTAAATTAGGTTCTAATAATTTTACAAAAATCGATCAATCTTTTTGTCTGAGTTCAATAACTATAAGGTGAGAGTTCGAATTATCACTCTTTTGAGATGGTAATAGATATATTATCAACTACAAATATATATATATATATATCATTTTATAATGATAAAAACTCACTTTTTGATGGTACAAAGACTTTACATTTACTAAACAACGAAAAAAAACAAAATCATTCTATAATGATAAAAACTCACTTTTTGATGGTACAAAAACTTTACAGTTACTAAACAACGGAAAAAAAACAAAATCATTCTATAATGATAAAAACCCAGTTTTTGATGGAACACAGACTTTACGTTTACTAAAGAACACAAAAAAAACAGAGGTTTAAATCTCTCCGCATGTTGTACTCGAAAAGAAAAAAATCCTTGCATTCTAGTTCATTTTAAAGTTGAAGACCCCTAATTAGAACGATCATTTCAAAGCAAAAGCTCTCACGTGGTCATTATTGTTATTATTATTATTATTTATTAAATACACTTGCAAATACAAAATTATGAAGTATGGTGTGAAAACAAAATTTAAATCATAAGAGCTCTCCGCACTCTTAGCCAATTTGCACATAGTTCAAATGAATAAATGCACTTGTACCATCCTAGAGTATACGGTTCGATCCTGCCTCTACAATTATTCCATTCAAAAGGAGAAGAAAAAAAAGACAACGACTCTAGGGTATCGTCCTTTTGAAAAGTAGTAGATATGAGGAGGTTTTCATTCTTCTAACTCATACGAAACTACTTTTTTTCAACTCTTTTGTATTTGTTAGGTAAGAAGATACTTTTTCTGTTGGTTTACATTTCATATAATTAATTTTTAAATTTATATGAGTAGAAAAGAAAACCAATCTATCCTACAATAATAAAAATTAGCCACATACGTACTTAAAAGAGAAATAAATGCATTTATTTGATTAGATCAATCCAACAATCCTATCTCAATAGCGCTGCTATCAATTAATGCATGAAACGTGTATGTAAAACGTATCGTTTAAATCAAATTAGAAACTAAACTTCAAAAAACAAACAAATTATAATGGAAAAAAAATTGTATTTGCTCCATAGTAGCTTCATAATTAAATTAAAGTGGTTGGTATGGTACAACTCTATGACTATGGTGTCTCCCTAATTTGGTTGCTTTCATCAGCATTAAGTGAGAAAGGTGGAAAAAGTTTGCCCAATTACATTTAATGTTATTAATTAAATTAATACAAGTTTTTCTTCCACCATCATAATAATAATAATAATAATAATAATAATAATAATAATGGACTAAGATTGTTTAGTTAATTAATTAACTAATTAGGGGTGGGTGTATGGCTGCTACATTTATATATTGTTCTTTATTATTTTTTTATACAACAAGTAGGATGTATCTATTAATTTTTTAGTCAGGTGTCAATTATGGCTGAAATTCTTAATGAATTTTTTTCACCCGAAATAATTAATTATTTCTTTTTATATTAATCAATTGAAATAGAATCTTTTAGATATTAATTATTTTTTTGGAAAATTGTTTTTTTTATATGTATAGGATGTATCTATCAATGAACAGTAATTTCAAATTGTATATCATACCTATATACCTTTAAGAAGGTGAAAGCAGAGCATTCATGAGATTAATTGCAAAATGGATACGGAATCTAATATTATAATTTTTCTTTGGAACATATTTTATAATCTTAGTAACCTTAAGATCTATAATATTAGTTTTTAACTTTGAATTTTTTTCAATAATAAATTTCAAAAACTTATTTTAGTTTATAGATATATTTTAAACTCATGTCTTCATCTCAAATGGTTGATGTTGACTTTTAAAATATATTAAGATTTAAGCTATATAAATATTTACTTTAACCAACCTAAGATTAGTTCGGGGTAATTGACACTTAACCAATACTTCATGAGATTAAATCTCACACCTCCACTTGTTGTACTAATAATGAAGGTACGTGAACTTAGCCACCAAATGAAGAAAGTAAAAACGTGCTTAAACTCCACCATTCTTGTAACCGTCACTCGTAATCCGCGCAGGTGTGTCTCCCTAAGTGGACGAGAAAGAAAGGAGATTTCTCGGAGCAACCCAACCCCCCAGATTCCAAACCCAGGGATCAACTTTCACGTATGAGCATCCAGTACATGTATCAGTCCGTGGAAGAGTGAAAGGGTCACCACTACTGAGGATCTCCCTCCTAATCTTAGATAGGTCGTCTGATGGTTCGCCGCGGTTCACGCGAAAAAATTGGTCACTTCATGCATGCTCCAGATTGTGGCTACGACTTTCTCTCATGGCACCTCAATCGCTAATGCAAGAAACATCCATCTAGTTTCATTCTTTACCCTGCTCTCACCTTCACTCGATTTCCGAACCTTTCTTTCCCACCCCATTCAATTTGTATCTATTGATCGCTATCCATTTTTCTTGCATCCATCCCGGGAGCAGAGCTATACCGAAAAAGATTTCAAATTGATATCAGTCTTCTATGTTCTCACCCTCCCTATTCCCCAGCAACTTCAAGGCAACCAAAGAGGACTTAGGGGGAGATTATAGGGAAATAATAGAGTTGCGAATAAAATTTCACTTTCACACAAATGATAAAAAGAGTAATAACAAAGATAGGGAAGAGAAATAAAATTTGAGATTTATATTAATACACCATTTTCAAATAAATTACGTCTTCTATTCTAATCAATGAGAGATATCGCATGAATAATATAAGGCATGATATTTTTTCTTTGAAAAACACTATGAACACTCTTTGAATACTCGCAACGCCCACCTACAAAAACCACAGCGAAAGAGTGAAACAAAAATAGGTATTTTGAAAACTTATCGCTTATGCCACAATATTGATGATACATCGAGAACAAGTTTGTATATTTTGGCGTTGTAACTTTAGCCATTTTAAGAAATCTACTTTGCTTCTAGCACTACGACACCCATCTCTTTGGATTTGTATTTGATGCCTTAACGCTCATGCCCATCGCGACGACCAACCCTAAAGAAAAAAAAATCATGTTCTACCTTATTAGTTGTCACGTTGCACACATGCCTTGAAAAACAAGTTGGGCTTGAATCTCGACTTAATTTGAGCTCCACGACTTGACCATAATACAAATAGTTTAGTTTCGATTCCATCACTCAAGATTAATACAACTAAAGTAACGCTGTTAGCTAGATCGCCCCCAACTGATCATAAATCTTTACAGAAATAGAAAGTTAACTAATAAAAAAAAATTAATTTTACCACTCATTTAAGTTTAGGTTCAATAACATAATAGAATCAGAACTTTAAAATTAATCTCAACCCAAAGAAAATTTTCCATTTTCCTCACAATTAACTTCTTATAAGAAAAAAAAAACATTAAAATGTTAATTAATAAGAAACTAGGAGAGACACTTTCCTAACTCTTTTTTTGTTCTCTTTTTTTTTTTAATAAAGAAAGTAAACATGATATACATTTAATTATTATAAAGTGGGGAAAAGTCACTTTCCCAATATAAAGTCAATTGGACTCTTCCCCTCTAAATAACAATAGAAATAAACACAAAATTATAATCTTTAGTGGAAAGAGCCCTAAACAAAACAAACCAAAGCAAATTCCAATTTTAATGGTATTAAGTTCCTCTCAACCTTCCCTTTTTCAAGTTAGAAAAGGTCTTTTTTTTTCAAACTATGCTCTCTGAAAGGGAGCGATATTCATAACTTTAAATAATAAGTTAGATTTGTATAAATCGAAAACAAAATTAAATAAAATCATTATCAAACATATCTTTACAAGTCGCGTGTTGAAAATATTTTGGACAATTCAAATTAAATGAAATGTTACACAATAAAGACGCAATAACGAGAGAAGTCTCACATTAGATAAATAAAAAGAAAACACACACAACCTTATAAAACTTAAATAATTAATATTTGTGCATTGACTTTTTGTTATTTAATACCTTTTTAGTAAAAGAATTGCAGAGGTGATAATTTAAATCTCCGACGAAATAGAACTTTAACGGAGCTATTTTATGTGGAAGTGGGGATTCGAACTTGTGAGTTTTTGGTCGGAGATAGATATCTTAACCAGTTGAGGCATGCTTAAGTTAGTTGTTGGCTTGTTATTTAATACTTACGTCACAGAAAGGATTACAGTTGTCATTTTTGTTATTACAACCAGTGTTCAAAATATCAATGTCGATGAGAATGTCGAGGTACCGATTTTATGGACATGTCGATGGATATTTCAAGAAAAATAATGAAAATTGATGAAGATTTTTGAATTAGCAGATAAAACTTGAATTGTAGCTTAATTAGCCTATAATTGATCACATTTAACCATTAAATGTAAGAATATGACCATTTTACTTAGGAAAATGTCGATGGCGACGGAAATATCGAAAAAAAAAATTTCCTTCAATGAAGATTGATGGAAATTATTTGAATGTGTAAAGTAAACTTTAATTGTAAACTTTTAACTACTTCTTTGTTGTTTTTCATAATAGGATTCATTTGTAAATGAGATAATTACCGACTTGCTTTCCAAACGCATTTCTAAATTCTAATTAACTCGTTTACTTTTTACCTACTTCTCTTTTCAAATTTGAATTTACACATTTTTCAAACACATTTTCAAATCAATCATCAATCCAACTTTCCAATCAAATTTACACAATTTCCAAACACCTCAACCTCGTGATTGTGTCATTCATCCAAATTATCTACAATGAGATTCATATGTGCTTCATATTCTACTTGAGCAAGTTACCTTCAAAACGTTCAATCTAAGATGACATGGGAGAATTATTGTAATTTATATGCACTAAATCCTCCGAGATCATCTTTTTTGTATTAATTAAGTTACGTATTCTACATCATGTTTCACCACTATTTGTATACAATAAATTGGTTCTAAGCCACTCCCAATCGGGTTGCCTTCCCAAGTCTCGCCGGTGTTGCCTGTAGGTCGTGCTGTGCCGATGGCCGTCTCCTGTCCCCCTGCCGGAACCTTCGTAATGATAGGATATTTTTTACATATAGCCATCAGACCATATGGATGATGGTAAGCAAGCAAACAACGAGCAGACATAGTATAAAAATCCATGCGTCCAGTGTCTGCATAGCTGGCTTTTGTATACTTGGGATTGATTGGGCTTCCTAATCCTTGTCGATCTTCTAAGTCGGCTATCAAGCACAGTGCCTTCAGCAGGGATCCTCTTTCATATCTTGTTTCTCTGCCACGCTACTCTCACAGGAACTGTAACTGTGTGACTAACAACAGTACCTGTTCGTATTCTCTTATCTAAGCTTCTTCCCTGTGTATTCGCTCCCCCATCGTAGATGGTTCAGCCACGCCCGGTGCCACGAAATGATTGAGAACTACGACAGGGTCGAAATGCAACCGGGAAGGGAAGCCTGACATAGATATTGATTTGAACAAAGGAACTCAAACCGGTACCAGAAACCAAACAAGAGATGGAATTCCAGATTGAACAGATGACCGACCTACAATAAGACGCAAATCGAATTCCCTAAGATTATTTCAATCTTTATATATGTCAATATTTCACATTTATTGTTCAATTGTGTAACTAAGGACTAGATTAGATTAGAAATTATCAATAAAGCAAATTCCTAATCTTATTAGTTATACTTTATACAGTATTAAAATGTGAATGTTTCATTGAACAGACTAACATTACAATCATTGAGGTTGTGAAAAATTATAGACTGTAGTGCATAGTAGGAAAAGGTTGAAAATAAAATAACCTTAAAAGAAGAAGAGGAAAAAAAAAACATGTCGACATTTGAGTCGAGGTGTCGACGACAGGGGGAAAATCGATTTTTTAACATCAATTTAATCTCTACACTCCAAGGACATTGTAGAAGGATTTTATAAATTATAAAAATCAAATTGAAGCAAATTTTAACTTATTTTTTTAATGATGGTCATATCATAATCAAGTTCTTACATCATATGCGGTTAGCAATCAAAATGAGGGACCATGATTCTCATGAATTTTGGAATATGACTCTATGTAGGCCCATTGCATATTTTAGACCAATATACCCTTTTTTTTCCTTTTTTTTCTTTTTCTATCTCTTCATTTGTCAATAATCCTTTTAATTTTTATTCAGCTTGAAAAATTGAAGTAAGTAGTTTTAAGAAATATAGCTAATTTTTAAAATTTAGTCAATAACTCACAATCATATTATTAAAAAAATATCTCATTCAAGTAATCTCTAAATATGTGCTAGAATTTAAAAGAGATATGAAGGGTAGATCATTAAATACAATTTTTAATTCATATATTATCATTGTTTTAATATTTAATGAGATAAATATAAACCCGAGCACAATTCAACTAGTTATACATTGATCATTTCTCTGAAAGGATCACTCTTTCGAACTTTTAAAACATTTAAGGAGAGACCGATTACCCGATTGAAAAAGAATGAAATCCCCATCTACCAAATTTTAGATACTAGCTATTAGAATTTTTTGCTCAAGTCCCTCCATCAATTTTTTTGCCCCAAACACTTAACTTCTCATCTGAAAAAACAAAGAAAATTTGGACGGCTGAGATGGAAGCAACAGAAAGTTTGAATCTTAAACATGGCTGAAAGAGAAGAAGGACTAATCCTTTCAAAAGAGAGTGTTGGAGTAGCAAAATTCAATGAAGGTAATTTTCTTTCTCTCTTTCTTTTTTCTTCTTCTTTTTTATAAAATAAAAGAAAGAAGCAAGAAAAGTCATTAGCAGTAGGTGAGGGAAAAAAATATATTAAGATTGTAAAAGAAGAAGAAGAAGAAGATAAACTAACCCCATCAAACTGAATTTCACTGCTTTTTCTGTCATAAATCCATTAGAGTTGACAAAACTGAAAACTTTCTTCTTCATTATTAACTACCTCTCTGTTTCTCTCTGTTTTTGTCTCTCTCTCTCTCTTGTTATGATCTAAAAGAGCTTTAGTTTTCCAATAGAGAGGGAAAAAAAATCCTTTTGAGTAGTTTATGATGCTTCCCTTTTCTGCTATGGTCCATATGGGGCACCACATAGCATAAAAATCTTGGCTTTCTTTTTCAATTTTTAGGATTAGTTTTTGCAGCTGCCACAAACTATGCTCCACTTGATAATTCTCATCTGGGTCCTCTCTGTGAGCAGCTCAGGAGTTTTAGGATCAATCAACTCATACTGCCCACATCATCATCTTCAGCGATTCGATCGGAAATTCGAGCAGAAAACCGATAGGTTTTGGAAGTTCCAAGAGCATTCCAACAGCTGGGTTGAAGTCCAACTGCCTTATGATCTTGTCTCTTGCAGAAATGGGAGTTGCACCAAGTTTGGCCAGATTAAGAATTATAGATTGGAGAAAAACAGAGGAGAGAACATGGAGAAAGAATACGATGGAGGTTTCGACGAGCGGACCGAGAACTCGAAAAAAGATGGGGGAGTAGAAGTTGCACACAAGTTTGATGTTGATTTGCCTGTGAGAAAAAGAGTGTCATTGACTAAAGTTTCAGAAATTTCCATTTGGGTCACTGGTGAAAGTGGTTCAATCTATGAGAGGTTTTGGAATGGAGTTCAATGGGTGATAGCTCCTCATGATTTGCCAGTATCAGCAGGTCCTGCTGTTTCTATTTTTGCTGTCAATCACTCAATTCTAGCTCTGTCTGAAGCAGGTGTTTTGTATCAGGTACTTCCAAAAACCAATACTTTCAAAAACCCGATAAAATGTCGATGCAAATTGATGATAGAAGTATCGATATCGAATGAAACTTAGGAAGTTGCATAAGACTTGAATCAACAATACACCTCAATGATCATTTTCTACCTTGAATCAACAATTTAGTCTTTGTTCTTTCGAATTTGACGATTTAATCTTTAAACTTTAGTATGTAACAATTTAGTACCTGTAGTATAAAATATGTAACAATTTACTATCTACCATGTAAAAAATATTTTTAAGCCTTAATGAAATTTCTTACATGTGTTGATTGATAAATCGCTTAAAAGAAACTATATAATAAAAGTTGATGCTTCACCTTGATAGTACTTTTCAAGGGACTAAATTTTACAAACTTTAAAGTACACGTATCAAATTGTTATGCACCAAAGTTTAGGACTAAATCATTATAAATTTAAATGTACAAGGACCATAAGTGTTTCTTAACCTTCCTGATACGAATACCTTCGTCCTTCGCAGTAGCAAATGAAAATCAGAAGCCTGCTGTTTTAACAGTGATGAAGTTTGTTTGTTTGTTTATTTTTCAAACTTTCTGCCTTTTTGTAGTTGCAGCTCAGTGAAAGTTCTCAACCAATTTGGGTTGAGCTAATACCAACACCTCATCAAACTACTGGTGAAGAAGAAGTGAATCAAGTTTCTTCAATCCAAGCATTGGCTGGTGTAGTTTCTCATGATGGGATGTGAGGCTTTTCTTTTAAAAGAAAAAAAAAATCAAAATCTCATTAAGATGACTGAATGTTACAACTTTATTTACTTTGTTTTTTCTGTTATTTGCCTAAACAGGAGAGTTTATTTCAATACAAAGAAAGGAACTCTGTTGGAACTGACTGAGCTTGAGCCTCCAAGGTAAAAGACAGGAAGCTAAGTAAAGAAAAGAGCTTTCAAAAGAGAGTTTTTTTTTTTGAAACTTACATTAGAGTGAAGAGAAATGTTTTTTACTTTGCTGTTGAAAATGAAGAACAGATTGGTAGATCACGGCCAACCCCGTGATGCCGATGTTGCAGCGATAGTAGATGTTGCTAGTTTCAGAACAGAAGTTGTGTATACCATAAGGTTCTTCCTTTTCCTCCCTTCTAAATTTTGATGCATCTAAATAAAGCTTCATCATGAACACAACTTATTACACGATTAAACTTACTATAACGAAACAAGTTAAATATGATATAGTAGGAGGTACTAAACTAAACAAACATCTACAATATCGGTTCTTGTGAATTCGTTAAAGAGAATTGTTGTTCGTCGAGCTAACAACCTAAGGTTTTGGGTTGATTTGTAGAGCTTGATTTGAATGTCAAAAATGGGAAGAGGGATAAAACTTTGCTATGCTTTGAAACAGGAAAGAAAAAGAGGGGCTAATGGTTCATTTGGAAATGTTGTTTATCAATTTAGAGGCATAAACTTTTTTTTCATTTTGAATTTACAGATTATCAGATTAAGGTAAAACAAAGAAATTGTGAAATGCAGCTCTGTGGGAGATCTCTATGAGTATGATAGGAGCTCAAAGCCACTCTGGAAGAAACATGTAAGAAAAGATAAAGCAGCACAAGATCTCCGTCTTATGGCGTCGACGGGATGCTATATACAAAGCTTGAATGGAGATTATTCCATATCCCTTTTTCTTTTAACTAAGGTACTACATATGCAAGAGAGAGAGAGAAGCCATGCCAAAAATGAAAACCAATGAGCTGACCTTAATTCCTTTCTGAATCTTACACAAAATTGCAGGATGGCAATTTGGTAGAAAGAAGATTGCACAAAAGGAAGTGGAAATGGATAGTCCATGGAAGACCAAGTGATCATCACCTTGCATCTGTTTTACCAGCCCTGGTAGATGAATCAAATGAGAAAATTCTCTCATTGTTTCTCACTACGTCTTCCGGTTCCGTATTTGAGTATCGAACGCATAGTTATCCAGGTAAAAGGCCACCTTATTGACATCACTAATAGCAAGAGGAAGAGTTGTTGAAAAGAAAACAAGCAGAACAATTCATAGTACTGGGTGAATTGAGTTCAGAAGATTTAGTTCATGCTTTATATTTGTTAGATTATCAACGTTATTCTCTTATAATTGAGATCGTATCGATACTCAACCTTTTTCTTGACACATAAAAACAGGTCATGGTCAGGAGGATGAAGTACCAGAAGCTTGGGTAAACCACAAGCATCCCTTGAATGCAAAAGCTGCAAGAGGTATTGCTGGCTTACAGTTCCAAGTTGGACGAATACTGTTTGCACTCGACGACGGTAGGCTCGGAGAGCTGCATCTTGCAGGATTAGGTGGAGAAAATTCAGGGCCAACTCATCACACTACTTCAAGAAGAAAAGCAGCAGTTAGATATACATGGTCGATACTAGAAGCACCGGAGACGGAAGGGTGGAATGCAGAGTACTGTACCGAACACCGGGGACCGACAAACTGCTTAACAGGCACTAAAGATGATCTAAGTGATCAAGGGGCAAGAAGATCAGCATCAAGAAGACCAAAGGGAAGCCAACCACAACAAAACTACTTAATCCCAGGAGAATCAGAGAGTGTACCTGAAAAATCATCTGACGATTTCAATCTTCTTGCGGAAAACTGGACCAAGAACAGCTTCCGACTTCGTGTGATGCACGGAGGAAGATCGTTTTTCCTGATAACAGTTGATGGCTTGATTTTTGAGTACCTTTACACTGGAGATGTATGGTTGTGGCTGAGGCATGAGAGCCCAACTCATATAAAAGGTGCAGTCGGCAATTACAATGGAAGTTTATACTTAGTTGATACTTTTGGTAGCTTGCTGATTAGAGAAAGAAGCAGCCAAGAACTGGCATGGACAAACTGCACTGCTTTTAGAAGAGGGAAACCGCTCATTGGAGGTGCTCCTTGGGATAAGTTCTTAGGTCTATCTATGAAGGTTACAACAGAAGATGCACTTTTCTTTGTCAGCAAAACAGGGAGATTACTCCAATTCACTGTAAGTTTGAGGAATGAAAGAAATTTGCATAAGATGTACTTTTAGTTGATTCAAATATATCTATGGGTTCTAAACAGATCCTTCAAACATTGGGACTAGAAGTATTGTGATTACATATTGGGATGATAAGTAGAGGCAAGGATTAGATAACAGTCATTAAACTACACTAAACCCAGAACGAAAAAGCTTAACACTATCCTACACGTGAAGGGTCGGTTTATAATTTGCTTTCACAGAACTCAACACGTGAACTGTTAACATCAATTGAGAAGAAAATGACATTGCAGGGATTCAAACTCAGGATCTTTTGCTCTGATAGCATGTTAGATTAGTTCTTTTTAACTTAAAAATAATATGTATGTAATCTTTTTATATATATATTATTAACCATTCCATGTCCTTGCCAACATTATTTTATTATTAATATTTCCAACATCATCGTTAAGTTAGTCATATTATACCTGTTCAAGGCTGGTGATGAAACCATTGTCTTTTAAGTTGAATTAGACAGTTGTTGTCATCAGTTTTTGACCACTAGAAACTTTTTCAGGTTGCATCGAGAAAATTCAAGTGGAAAGACTGCCAAAATCCTCCGAACACCAAAGTTGCAAGCATCATAGACCAGGAGACGTTCAGGGAAAACATAGTATTTGTGATCGGAACAAACGGTCGGCTATACCAGTACAATAAAGTGACAGCGTTATGGCATCAACATCATCAGTCTCAGCATCTACTTCTATCAAGATGGCCTGGAACCGCAACCAGACCATCACCCTACTCTCTTACAGGCTCACTATTTATGATCTCTAAAGAAGGTGGCCTCATTGAATACCATTGGAACTCATGGGATGGTTGGAACTGGGTGGAGCATGGAAGACCATACAGAGGCGTGACGTTGGCAAGCGCGCCCGGGCCGTGCTTCGAAGGTAATCAACTGTTTCTGATTGGTTCTGATGGAAGAGTATACCTCAGGTATACAGATGAAGACACATGGAAATGGAGAAACTGTGGGTTCCCACACATGTTTGATAAAGATGGAAAAGTGGATTCAAAAGATGGAAATGGGCTAACTTGTGTTGATGAAGAGCGTGCATTGGAGAAAGATCCTGAAAATGAAGAGGATATTGACAAAAACTGTGATCCAAAGGTTAGATTCTGACATTTTTATGCTATTATTACATTATGAGATGAGATTTTTTAAGCTTTCAAATACTATGCAGGTTGCATCCACAAGACCAATTCAATTTTCTGAGGATGCAGTCATTTTTGAGCTAAGAGATGGCAGGGTAAGTGTTATTTACTTTAATCAACTATAAATGGCACAGAAATTTTTTTAGGATTTGCTTAAAATTATTGTGCATTAGCTCAACTCAACCAAACTAATAAATGTACAAACTTAGATGTTTCTTCCAGGTACGTAGCCGATATAACAACATTAACCTCCAAATATGGGCTTGAAAATTAGTACGAGGCCCAACAAGTAGACTATTATACGAAGAAATAAGTAGAAAATGATATTACAAGAATTTGAATTTAAGATATCTCTTATTCTGATACCATTTTATTTTTGTATCCATGATTGTCTGGGGCAACGCACACCTCAACTAATGTCAAGAGGCAATCACAAAACCTTGCAACGTAGGGTTATCAAGAACAATAGAATTTTATTGTATGTAGGTGACCAGTGACCAGTGACCACCATGAGATTTGAACCCTTAACCCCCGGTTCTTTTTTCCTTGTCCTAAAGTCGTAGGCCGATGGTCAACTTTCGTACCATATTAAACCACTACTAAACTTAAAAGTTTAAGTTGATTGGTGGAAGTAAATTTATTATTTTTAATATATACTTAACATTGTTGTTTCTTCTTTTGCCACTGTTCGGTTGAGTCAAATCGTTCCAATAGGTAAGGTTTTTCGAGTCTTTTTGTGCCTCACACTCCCAACTCCCAAATAATTAAGGGGTTTACCCATTTTCATGCTAGTATTGGGTGTTGTTCTACCTGAACATATTTCAAGCTTTCTTTCCTTGTGCTGTGCTGTGCAAAATTATATGAATAACCAAGCATAAAGGCACTACCAAGTCTTGAAAATTATCTCGGTTTCCTTATCTAGAAGAAGAAAAACAAAATAATGTATCAAGTTGAAGTTTTTAGCTATAGCAAATCCAGTTCACAGCTGCATTTTAGACAAGTTTCTAAACCAGCAATCATATCTTGACTAAAACTTGTGTGTTTCTTTACCTTGATAGTTGGCTGAAATGCGACAAACGGATGACTCGAACTGGATCTGGTCTCGTGTTATCGTCACTCCCACGAGCTTATGTATTGCAGATTACTGGACAGCTTTGGCATCATGAAAACTAATGCAAAGCAACCAAGTGTTGAAGCTTTTGCAGGCAAAATGGTAACATCCTAAGGTTATAAAATGTTGTACAAATAAAAAGACAAACAGCCAATTTGTAACAGTGCAACAATGATATTAAGGGAATGTTTTCTCAGATGAAGCTTTCTGTATATATAGCATAAAAAGTGAAAATATTTGCAGAAGATACATGTTTGGATGAATTATTTCATACTAAATGACATTTATATTTAGGTTATATAAACAAATATATTAAAGGGTTGTGAATTTGGACTTGTAGGCCTCTCGTCTAATGAGAACTTTGGTTTAAACGCTACATATATATACAATACAAGCTCATGGTTTTCAATGTACTAAAATTTTTCCAAGTCTTTTATTACCCGTCTCTAAAATTCTATCTTCTCAAGTCTATTTAATCTCTAATCTTCTAAAAGAAATTCTCCTACATCTGATTCTATAATGGCTCTATCTTTAGCAAAATGATGACATAATATGTCCGATTTGTAGAAACTATGTAGAATTATAATTCAAAGTTCCTTAGAATAAAGGTTAATAGTAGTGACCTCAAGCATATTTTGTCAAGATTCAAAACATATAATATGATTCTTTTATTAGACCATAACTTATAATGGTAATCCTACAAATTGTAACTTAACCAAACATAAATAAAATGTCATATTGTTAAATATTTTTTAAAAAAACTAACATAAATTTTTTAAAACCGTGAAGATCAAATTAGAAACATAGCCGCTAAAGCGAACATAACTCAGCAATAATTGACATATGCTCCAACCAAGAGCCAAGAGGTTGCGAGTTCGAGTCACCACCTCGCATGTTGTACTTAAAAAATAAAAAATAAAAAAAATTAGAAACATAGAAAACGAGCATAGCTCAACGATAATTGATATATGTCTCTAACAAGAGGTTGTGAGTCTGATCCGAGGTTGAAAATTCGAACTCACAATTTTTTAGTGAGAGGTGACCCAGTTGAACTATATTCAGGTTGTCAACGTTGAGAAAGGTTAATAGGTGCTTTATCGAAATTTTTTTATACATAAATTTTCGATCCTAAAAATTTTAAGAGGGAAATTTAAAGAAAAATTATAAAAGTTCAAGTATTTAATATATAAATATATATATATATATTTAAATAAATAACAATTGTCATCCAACTTCCAAATCATACAAATAATTTTCTGAAGAAGGAAGTAGCCGTTGAGCCTACAAAAGATTTTCGAAAAAATCTCTCACCACTAACGTTCGAAAAAGCAGAACTCTGAATCGAAACCCTTCAACTCTCTCATAATTCTCAGAGAAGGGAGAATCCATTGGTTTCTTTCTGCTTCAGATTCAAACCCAGAGGGGGAAGAAAAGAAGATCCAACATAAATGGCGGCCATTAACAGACGTTACGAGACTGCACAGAGCTACCAAGATCAAGACGACGACAACAACGCCGCTCACCAGTCTCTCCCACCTCCGAAACCCATAGAGTCTCACTCCGTCCTCAAGAGGTACTACCCCAATTCAACGATCTCGATTCCATTCGTCCTGTAATGATAATTCATGTTAGGGTTTCTGATTTGTGATTTTCTCGTTCAATTAACAGGTTGCAAACTGAATTGATGGCCTTAATGGTAATAATAATAATATAACTAACTCACTCACTATTCTGAATTCTCCTCCATCCACCGCTGCGCTTTCAACAGCAAATTCCATGTGTTTCTGATCTCTGAGTTTTGTTTCAGATGAGTGGGGATTCGGGTATTTCGGCTTTTCCTGAAGAAGGCAACATTTTCTACTGGAAAGGGACGATCAGTGGGAGTAAAGATACAGTGTTTGAAGGGACTGAGTATAGATTGTCCTTGGCGTTTCCCAATGAGTATCCCTTTAAGCCACCAAAAGTCAAGTTTGAAACCTCCTGCTTTCATCCCAATGTGGACATCCTTGGCAATATCTGCTTGGACATTCTTCAGGTAACTTTGGGCTAACATTACAGTTCCCAATTGGGTCTGGAAGCCTGATGGAATTCTTATTGCAGGATAAATGGACTTCTGCTTATGATGTCAGAACTGTCTTGTTATCTATTCAGAGCCTGCTTGGAGGTGAGTTTCTTTTGTTGGGCTCTTCTGTTCCTATCCCAATTCCATACTAGAAGATGAGTGATGGTCTTTTTCTGGATGCAGAACCAAACATAAGCTCCCCTCTGAATAACCAGGCAGCTCAACTTTGGAGCAACCAGAAAGGTTGGTTGGATTTTTTGTTTTTGTTTTTGTTTCTTGTTCTTTTAGGTTGGTTTTGGGGGGTGAGCAGTGGTAATAACAAACGACTAAGTCACTAAACATGTTTCTTATCCAATGCTATAGAATATAGGAAGATGGTGGAGAAACTGTACAAGGCACCAACAGCTTAGAGTGTGGATAAGAGGATGATGCCAAATCAAATCAGGCCACTCCTTGATCTTGGTGAAGGAGATGATATATACAGATGATAATCAGTTAGTTGTGTTTTCAAACTCTTTCCTATTTCCTTATTTCGTGTTGTCTGAATGAATAAAACATGAAGGAGATGTAAAATGATGGTTTGGAAATCATATGTAAAAAGTTTCCTCCTTGAGTATTTTCCTGCTCCTATGTTCGCATTTCTTAAACCTCAAGGCTTAAACAAAAAGGATGCAGAAATGGTCTAAAAAACAACCTTACGAATCCAACAATCTCCCCCAACAACTCAACAGCTGAACAGACAATAATAATTATCAAACAGCATGAATATTATTTTTGCTTGGTTCCAAAACTTTCTAAATTAAACTAGCTCAAGGAAATGCTGAATACATTTGTTGATGTACGAAGTTAAAAAAGTGCTCAGAACAGCCGAGAGAAGTAAATAAATAGCCTATCCTATTGCTTTCCTGATGTGAGCTGCCTCAGATTGTACTTGGATAACTCCTTATACCTTTCCACCACTCCAATCAAGCAAATAGTCTGAAAAACAAACAACAAAAGTAAGAAACTTCATGTGGGAGAATTAGGAAACTTAATGACTCGTCCCAGAGCAATCACAAGTCAGGCAAACAACCCCATTACATGTACAATAAGCAACTCTAAAGACGTAACTTTGTGGCTATAACTTAAAGAGAAGTTAAAAACATATACATGATCAATGATAGATAAAAGATCATGATCATTTAGCCATGGCTATTAAAACAATCATATATTAGGGGGAAAAACTGATTCAGACTATTCTACTGGCACCCATTCTCACAAAACAAGCCCTGCAATTCTTCAGGTACGAAAGCCATAGTTTTTTCCTTCCAGTCTAACTTGCAGATGATACTAGTTCTGTAAGATCCTTGAGGTTCTACACAATACTTGCCAGAAAACAAAAATATGGAATCTCAGTTGTGTAGACTTTTGAACTTCAGTTACTCCCAGGAGATTTAATTCAGACCTCAAGCAACACATACACAGAGGAGGCACCAGATAAGATGAAATTATCAAAGCAAGAGATGAAGTTGTCAAAGCAAGATTTACGATACATGTATTTTATATACATATTCCACGTATTCCAGGCTGGTTAGAGCCTTCTAACCAGAGAACATTTTTGACAGAATTTGGAGCTGCAAACCTGCACTGGGCAAGTGAGCGTAGCAGACCTTCCATGGACTAGCTTGATAATGACACAGAAAAAGTGACAAAACATCCATCAAGAACAACTGGACAAAGGAAGGAGGGCAGATTTCCTCGTTCTAGATCATGTCTAAAGAGAAATATCTAAGATAAAATTGACTTCCAAGAAAAGAGTTCCCCACCTTCACAATCTCAACCACAATGGTTTTTTCAGGATTGTTCAAATCAACTTTATGAGGCTCAGGAACACATTTTGCTACAGTGTTGATTATAGTTGCCCTGTCAATGCCACTATTTGCACGGGCTTCATATAGTACTGCAAACTGCAAGAAAGAGCATAAAGAGTTTAAACATTATTTTGCTATCATTCTAATAACAGCATCCTCATGTCAAATCACAGTGAGACTCTGAAAAAAGCTCCATTACATAGATAGACAAAAATCTCTTGGGAAACAACATAAATAATCTCTTAGGAAATAATTCAGAGGATATTAGTTTCTTTTATAAATTGATAGACTATTATGGTTAGATATAACTGGAAATTGCAACTAAAGAGAATACAACTAGAAGTGTCAGATCAACCAAAACTGAGAATTTTTAAATCTATCACACCCCACAAGTTTTTTTTTTTTTTTTGTGATAAGAAACAGAAAGAACTTGCATTAATCACAAGTTATACCTGCTCGATCCACACAAGTCGTTTAAGTCAAGCTGGACCCCTAACTAGCCCATACCTAGTTGCAAGACATGTGGTGTCCGATAGGAATGACTTTAAGGGTAATTAGGGATATTAGTAGAGTATTGAAGGTACCTTAGTAATTAGATATAGAAAGTTGTTAGAGAGGGTATTATAAATAGAGTGAGGGTGTAAGAATGAAGGTATGCAATTAGTGAGTATTGTAGTTTGTTTATCTTTAATATATTTCGGGTTCTAACACATGCATATGGAAAATACCTTTACAGGACTTTCAAATTTGGGAATATGCATATGGAAAATACCTTTACAGGACTTTCACTCTCGACAGGAAAATTCTTTTCTATTAGAGGCTTTATTGCCCTCGAGATCTCCTCTACTGAAGCATAGCATGCTACTTCAATTGGTAATACCCTAAGTATGAACCTGGGTATATTAAAACATATGATAAGGCATGTTAGTGAACCAGTTTAGGAACTTCTTCACACTTCCGTTCCTTATTAGATTCAACAACTGTACGCAAACCTTGATATGTGTTTCCTTGTTGAAGCAATAGATGTCATCATGTGCTTCACAACATCCTCAGGACCGGGTTCTCCATCCCCCTTCCGCATTTGGATAAAGACAACACCATTACATCCCGAATCTAGATTGAAAAGACGCCTCTGTACCAGATTGAATAATAAAGGATTAACTACCAGTCTGGCTGTCTAATATTAATAGAATAATTCAAGAAAACAATCCAATATTATAAACATGTTTAAAACTGCAGGCCTGACAGTCACACTCGTAAGAAGTTATCTGTTGCCGAGATCACTTAAAATTATGAGATAAATATCAAAAGATTTAACCCAATGAGGCTAAAAAAAAAGGAAAGATAAATCGAAGATAATTTGAGAATACGATGCTCAAATTCCGTCAACAGGAAAGAATAAGAACCTTTTGTCCAGCAATCTTAAGAACCTTTTGTCCAGCAATCTAATCCACTTCATATGGTTTGCAGACTCTTGTCAGATATGTTCTTAAGAGTTCCTCAGAATTAAGAAGGTTCAATAAACTTGACAAACTTAAATCAGACAGACTAAAAAAGAAAGTAATCCACTCTTCTCTTTCTAACATTCATACCTGCCAAGTTGATTAAAACTGGACCATGCCCTTTTAAAAAACACATTCAAAATTCCCCAAAGAACAATTTTCCAGGGAAGAGAAATCAATACAAAACAATTTTCCATGTATCATGCAGGCATATATGCTTGTCCAGCTTATAAATAATCTAAAAATTATGAAGATTATAAACAAGAATAACAACCTTAACATTGAAATTTTATCACTGACCTTGTTCTTATCTCCCAATTCCTCAAGTTCGGCCTCAATCAATTGATCAATGGACTTCGCTTTTTCCTGCACAACATTTTTTGATGTATCTGCTTCAATGCAGTGTTTCTTACTTGGTGGCTCCTCAACTTCATTTGATAAAACTTCATGACATTTCACATCACTATTGTCATTTGATTTTTCCTCTGTTTGATTTTCGGTGACCACAGCATCCCCTTGATGAGGATCTACTTTTTCAGTTGTTTCATTTTCATTTGAAGGATCATTTTGCTCTGTATGAGATTTAGACTTGCCTTCTTCCTCAGGAACCTCCTCTTCCTCCTCATCCCCCTCGTCCTCATTATCATCATCAGAACTAGAAGACTCAGAATCCGAAAACTTAATTTTTTTGTTTAATGGTTTATCAGCTAATTGCGACAGCTTCACACCAGAAACTTTTCCATGGACTAACTCCTCAAAAAACTGAAAATTGAATTCAAAAGAAAAAAAAACAGCTATGTAAAAACCAATACTATCTTCTAAGCATATACTTCAGTAAAGCCTTTTAAAAAGAATACTATTTCAAGAGCTAGCAATTAATAATCCTACAATGAACAATTAGATAAAACATTAATCAGAATTATTTCGAGATAATCTTGGATATTTCCCTTTATGTTTATGATTCCATTGGATCAGTATTCACTACTCGTTAATCACAAATATGATTTAGTTTGGCCTCCATAAATAGACCCTTTGCAACCACGAAAACAGTTTTTTTTTCCCCTTAACATCTTTGATTATTGAGTTACCAGGCTTCCCATTATCTCCCCCAAATTCCCTTTAATTATCTTCCATAATTCCCTCTTTCTCTGCCCTTTCTCCTTTTTTCATCTCTGCTATTTCTAACAGGGCAAAAAAGAAAGGTTCCAGTTTCAATTCCCCCACTAACTTATATAATAGGCAATAGGAATACCCCTTGAGGACTATCAGAATGTAATCCATTCAACTATTCATCCAAATCCCATCAAAACATAATCTAGAAGCAGCAAAAGAGAGGAAGGTCATACAGAGTCAATAACGTTGATGGCTTCAATGGAGGCTTGGCGTTCACGGCCGCCATCGCAGGTAAGAAAGAAACCTTGAACTCCGGGGTGTAATGGGTAGTGGCCCTTCTTCTTCACTGGCTTCTGAGGAAGGAGAAAAACAAGAGAATCAGAAGAAATTAACCGATGAGAGAATACAGATGGCGAAAAGAGGAAAAGAGAAAGAGGGGTAACATTGTGGGGGAGATAGCGCTGCTTCCTCTTCTTGGCTCCGGTGGAGGGTTTGTTTTCGGCGGCCATTACAGACTACAGGGAGAATCTTCAAAAGTAGCAGAGTGAAAGTGAATCACAGAGTTCGAAGTTGTGCAAGTTCTTCAGGTTCGAGCCTTGCGGGGTTTTCGAAAAACCTGCGTCCCATTTCAAAGGATTCTTTAGGGGTAAATGTGTAATTTAGCCTTGAGTCATTTTCCCATATTTTTGAAAATTTTTAAATTATAATAGTCAAATTTTTTTTTGAATAATGCGGGCAACCCTTTAGCCTTTCATGCCCCTATAATCAGGGGTATGTCCACTGTTGTCATACCCGTACATACGCAAGGTTATTATATGATTGTTAAATTGAAACTTTTCCAAATTCATAAAAACCAAAGTTGTAATTTAATCTAAAAATTTTAATTTTATCCGTTTATGTATTTTTTTAATACAAAATATAGGAATAAGAGATCGAACACATAACCTTCTAATTTGAGATATATGCGCATTACGACTAAACTATGCTCACTCTGGCTTATCTTTATATGTATTGATTTTCGTATTTCCAAACAAATTTTTAATGTTAACTATTAGACTTTGTTAACAAAAATGAGATTTGATGTCAGATATATTTTATTTATTAATTTTGTTTAAATTAGGAAGCGGATTCGATTTCAAACTTTTTATTGAAATATATTTTATTAATAGTCCATTTGAGCCTAAGAGAAAAGAAAAAATAGTCGAAATCTTTCCCCCTCACATTCTTGAACCCATTGAAAATGCCCTAAATTTGTAATGGGATAAAATAGGCATGTCCACCTACCTAAACCCTAAGGTGATTAAGAAGTTAATTGTACCCTCTCTCTCTTGTTCATCAATTATAATCATTCTTAAGCTAGTATACATTTATATTTTATACAAAATACAATCTAGAGTAAAGTTATCTTTATTGAAGAATAGTATTAATAAATAGGTTTAAATACATGTCGATTGATCCTAAATTTTCAACTTTTGTTCATTTTACTTCCAAAACATCTGTTTTTGTCTCCGTACTTTAAAAAATGGTCTCTATTTGCAAGATTTAACATAAATTTTATACCTAATGGAAACCCTTTAATGCAATTTTATATCTACATTTCAAGAAATTTTGAGAGTGAAGTATATGTTAAAATTGTGACAGAAAAAAAAGACATAAAAATGAAAATGAATGAATCAAAATGGCTGCTTAAAAATATCGAAACATTTTGAAATTACGAGACTAAAATGAATAAAAGAGGTGAGGACCAAAGCTTGATATGCTGACTAGATCATGGACCATACAGTCCATACCTTAAAAGACTAAGACCCAAAAGTAGGTCCGACCCACTGATCGGCCATGGACTAGTCGCTAAACCAAAATTGATACTAATTTGATCATTTTACTCGGCCAAAGTGCCAATGATTGATACTAATTTGATCATTTTACTCGGCCAAAGTGCCAATGTTCTTATATACCAAAATTACGCATCAACAATCATAGGCATCATCAAAGTTACATTTGATATAATGTTTGATAGGCTCCTATTAGACAAGTAGATTATTATGCTCTCAATAAATTTGATCTTTTAAATCAAATTTGCTTTGTTTTAACCTCAACTTCACATTCAGAACAATTAACAAACAGCAAAATCACATCCATTTGAAACAGGCAAATCCTTTGGAGCCAAAAAATGGGAAGGGTAAAGGGCAATTTTCACATTATATTTCCATGCCATTTGAAATCATGATCTGTAATTGTACATAACTTCACATTTTGCAATGAATATAAAGAAACAATCCAATAGAAAGAACACTAAAAACTTTAAGCAATAGAAAGAAGAAGAAAAATTAAATATGGACAACCTTCTTTATACACAGATATCAAATATTGAAATGAATTGCTAAATGTACAAGGCTAGGGGAGCTATACTTTTTGTGTGTATAATAGCTATATGAATACTTTATATATGTAATCATATAATGTGTGTGAGTGTATTTATAGCGAGTTTACGTTGTTATCCACAGGTACCGTGTCGTTGGATGAATAAGAAGCTGCAAGTAGTGCTGCCCCAATGCCCGAACCATCTTCAGTTGGCTTTAGAATTACATGTGGGGCTATCTGCTCTCCAAGTATTTCAACCAGAGCTTCATGTAGGTACTCTCTGAACATTGTATAGCCTGTATACAAACCTCCCTCGATCGCAACAACTGTTCGTCTAAGTTTGACGTCGGTTCTACTTCTTCCACCTGCGATTCCACTGCTCCCGTCCCGCCCTATCTTCTTCAGGATGCCCACAATTCCAGCAGCTGCCAAGCGAGCAGCTCTCCGTGTCACAATGTCACATATTTTCACTACAAGCTTTCGAACCTTCAAGGGTATTTCAGTGATCTGAGAGGGTAAAGAAAAACGAACTAAGAAAGGAAAAATACGTGGAAACATGGTTGTGGCCCCAAAAACCAGGTTCATTCTCATTCAAGAAAAGAGATGAGACAGATGAAAGGAAAAAAATATAGATTTCTTATCTACCTCCAGGATGTCTTCTAGGATCCGTGCTACTTCTGTTAAATCCGGAGAGCTATCCTCGTGCATCGCAGCCATCAATGGCGTTCTGAAAATTTGATGGAATGGTGATCACATTGCAACGGAGGAGAGAGTGACAGGGGAGAGAGGGAGAGAGATTACCTCAAAATGAAGGGCACTAATAACCTGGTAGAAGCAGGGCCAAAAACATCAGATTCTTGTGATATCCTCATAATCACTCTTCTCACAATGTCGCCGAGATACATACCCGATATCATTTTCTCAAAGCCCTACGTCAAGCCAATACACAAAACCAAATTAATTCCAACATCATAAAGTAGTCCAAGATGTTTGACATTGAAAAAGAAACCATACTTGATCATTGGGATTGGGGCTGTCGGCATCCAAATCAATATCATAAGTAGTTCTTGGTAAATGAGAAGACCAAAAATTTCCCCATTCCATGTTGATGACCTGGATGATCAAAAATATGTCATTTGCTACTGTATGCCTTCTAGACACAAAAAGAACATTATTCAGTTTTTACTAAAAGAAAAGTACCATGCTTCCAGATGTCGTAAGAAGCCCCTGGCATTTTATAATGGCATCTGTACGCTCAAGATAGCAAGCATTGGTGCCAGTGCCAATTATAACTGCAGCAACCGTGTCAGGATCTTGGTAACGTCCAACAGCCAATGTTCCCACAGTGTCATTAATCTGATTCAGAAATTGATAATTACACTTACAAACTCCAAACAATACTGTCACATAACTACTTGCGATCAAATTGAAATGGGGCAAAATAAAGAGGCCCCATGAATATATATATAGATGAGAAATAAAGAGCTATGTCAAAACATAATCACCCTCTACTCCTAGCACAAACCTGGTCATCACATGAAAATGTTGTATACTTATGTACTCGCCACCCCCATGTAAAAACTACATTAAATACCACTAACATGCTCGGGCATTCAAAAATATCAAAAAGACGATTTATGTGACCACTACTTTTTAAATAATGAAAAAATGAGTGACAGACATCCAATATGTTAACTGTTTAAATTCACTCTTTTCTACTCAATTTCAGCAGCATAAACAAAATTAATAATTACCATCAAGCAGTAATATAGTTTTATGCTAAATAGATTATATACACAAGTCACAAGCACTCTAGGAATCATAGCCACACAGCGTCATTTCCATTACAGGAGTATATTTTTGGTTGCGAACATAAAACATGACCACAAAAACGAGAATGAGCACATACATATTTGCTGGCTTGAGATGTCTAGGAATTCATACAGCTCCATCATAAACATTAAATTTATTGAAAAGATGGATAAAAGTAAACCTATATTTTATTGTATCTGTGTGCTTTGATAGACCAAATCGCCATCCAAATACAAATAGCATCAATAGACTGCAATTTTATAACAAACATGCATATAAAGTAAATGTGTATCTTAAGTTCTATGGAACAACACCAAAGATATAAACCAGGAAAAATCTTACTCAGACCAAACCAACTCAAGCAAGTGGGCTATGAAAGATGGTATGTCAGAAAACTGCAGCATCGCCTTAACTTACTTCTACAAACTCTAAGGAGAAAATACATTTGTTGTTTCTACCCCATAGATAAATAGAATTGAGGTAGACCATGCAACTTCTTTCTATAAGAAACAAGATTTCCTTCAGAGTACAAAAATACAGGCAGATGAGTGGGAACCAATCAAGAAAGGAACAGAACACTTGTAAACAGCCACACCAATCAACAGCTTTTTGGGGAGCGAATAGAATTTGTCAAGTCAATAGCAATTGAAGCTAAAACTGAAGCCTAAATGTGGTCTACACACGTCACCAATTTTTGCCAACTTGCTAATCAACAGAATGCCTACCAGTACTGATACTCTCATATCTAGTCCACTCCTATCAATCGCTTGTTGTAAAGATTCTGCAGCATCTCGCCCAACCTGAAAAGTAGAACAGTTTGAAAGCCAAGTAAATAACTGATGAAGCATATTCCCTTGCATTAGCGTTAAGCTAATAATATAAGAACTTTAAGATAAAAGCTGATGTGCTTTTATTCTTTGAGGCCAATGCATTTCACTTTTTATATTAGTCAAACACTGTCTACACTACACACTCAAGGCAAATTCAGACTCAAATGTTTGGAGTAGTGCCCCTAAGAAAATGGTATGTATGCTAAAATAAGCAAAAAGCAAACAGGTGAACCTGTACCATCCAGTTTTGGCATCGCCAGGAACAATTTACACAAGAAAGAACACTTCTTCATTCATCAATTTAGTGTTCCAAAATCCAATCATTTAAACAGTATCGAACTAACCATGTCTTTAATGGAAAATCCTTTAGTCCATTTAATCAACACGCCTGATGATGCAGATGTTTGTTTAACAGGAAAGGAAAATGTAAATCCAAGTTCTCTTCTAGCCACCAACTGTTCAGGATCATCGGCTTTCTCTACAAACGTCTTCAGTGATGTAGCAATAAAATCAAAGAGATCCTGCAAGCAAGAAACATAGAAAGGTAAAGGACATGTTAAATAGAAAATCAACAGCAGAACTTTATAGTAGAAATGAAATCACCTCGCTTGTGCCAGTCATAAGATGCTGGGGAATCGGCTGCCGCTCTACATCATGTTTCAAGCTAGGAGACCTCTGGCCACCAAGACAAGCTCTCAAAACCCTAAAGTTAGTACCCCCAAGATCCAGAGCATAAAAAGTTCCTTTCTCGCTCCTGAAGAGGGAAAAGGGAAAGAAAAGGAGAACCACCCAATAAGAACAGCGAAAACTTCCCCCACACTGCAGCATAAACATGATAAATATGCATAATTACAACGTATACTGCAACACATCAATCAAAATTCAAATAAGAGACAAAAGAAGAAAAAACTTCCAGCCATACAAGAACAAGCAATTATAAATTTATGTAGCAGCCAGACAGTGCTGAAAGACTGACACCTCACACCAGTAACGCTGCAGACAGAAACCAAACTGAAAAACGTGCAAAATATAAAAAGCAAGCAAAAGAAGGAATAATAACAGTTGAAAGAGAAAGAGATCATAAACCACAGTAATTAGAGACATACAGCAAAAGATGTCATTGAGGATATTTCCTGAAACAGACCAAAGACGCACAGAGAACAATGAGAGACCACTCAATCAATTTCCGCTAATCCGAGATCAAATCAAAGGATCCAAAAAGCGAAGTTCAATGAGAACTACTACAACCAAACAAATAGAAATCATTCGAATCTGATAAACGCAGTCCCCCAGCAGGTCAACAATCAAAAAACCCCCCATTAGAAAAGAGTTAATGGAAATGATTGGTGGTTACCCATTAGGCAGATTATCGACATATGTGAGTAGCATTTTGAGCTTAGAACCACCTTCAGAGGCCAACCCAGCGTGCATTTCGACGGCCATAGCATCGACCACCTGCCTCAATCTCCTCACAGGAGTGTCACACGCCTCCTCAAGCTCTTCCAAAACCCCGACCACTCTCTTCCACTTGCTCCGGCTCTTCACCCTCCGACCGACCACCGCCGCCGCCACCGCACAAGCCGCCGCCGCCACGCCCACCGCCACGCCGAACACCAACTTCCCCATCACCTCCTCCCCCCGCGATCCCCAATTAATCCATCCAACAACGCCTCCGCTTAAAGGCCTTCTTCCTATTCACTATTCCGACGAACTCCCGCCGCATCCACATGCACGCCGCTTTGGATCCTTCACACCCACCCCACTTTCGTCTCCACCACCACCGCCGTTATGCACCCGCCCGAATTGCACAGTCCACCGCCACTGGCCGGAACTCCCCGGCTAATCCTCCGGCCACCGTCGCCGGTGAGACGCCGTAACAGACGCGGTTTCAGAAAACGCTGAGGAGAGAGAGAGAGAGAGAGAGAGTTTATTAGGAGAGAGAAAGTGAAGAGAGAAGGGTTTTTCGGGGAACGAGAATTGTTGGAAAGCGAACCGGGTGGTTACTTATAGGAAGGGGAAATGACGGATTTGCCCCTGGTAAAATAGGAATTTACGGATCCGATGATTATTTACCGTTATTAATGAGAGAAGATATTCGGAGAGGGAAGTTTTAATTGCAATTTTGACTTTGCCTTTTAACTTTTTCTTTTTCTTTCCTTTTTCTTTCTTTTGAACGTTTCTCCACAAACAATCCCACAGAATCCAAATTCACTTCCTTTTTTTTTTTTTGCATTAATTACGATTTTGACCATCACTTTCCAAATTCAATAGAGTATATTTTGATATTCTTTTGATTAGTCCCAAATCCCTCTTTGGTTTTAACGTTTTTAATTCCACGTTTTCAATTATATTAAATTAACCAATGACATGATTTCTAATAAATTGAAATTGTCGTGTAATAATATCGCCTACTTATCCCTATAAAAAAACATGGTAACTAAAATAGATTAATGCATAAAGAAATAGAGAATAAATATAATAAATAATTGTCAATATTTTAATGATATGATAAGTAGTAGCATACCTACTTATCACTAAGCAAAGTTTTATCCATACATAATTGCAAGATGAGAATTACTCATGACATAATTATTGAACTGAGCTACGCTCAATTTCCTACTATTGGATGTTTATACTCTAATCCATCGTTAATCTTTATCTTTAGTCACTATCACATGCATTAGTCGAAAGAATGCTACTTCATTTTTTAAAAATTTTGGATGGCATTGACTAAGTAGGCAGTAATCCGGTAAGATATTTTCAATTAAATGAGAAATAAAACTAAAAATATTTCCTAAACACACATTATAATTGAAAGTTAATGTAAGTTTAGAAAGATCATTGGTCTAATTTTCCATATGACAATGTTGTAGCATTGAGTAAATCAAGGGCTTTCAAACCATAAATTAACATTCTTATGAACCATCATCATATCTTCTTCCCTCCATCTTAGACCAGAATTTTGAGTTGCTATCTTCTTTATGGAGAAAAGCACATCATGTATATCAAATTGCTTAAAAGTCACTCCTTTTGAGCATACCATAGACCACAAGTTTTATTTCAACTTTAAAATTCCACATATCATTTTTCTTTCCTATCATTTCCCTTCGTGCCATCTACGATTTCTATTTCAAGTTTGATTTAGATTACAAATTGTCGTGTGCGTGATTAAGTTCACTGTAAATTTAAATAGTGGGGTTCGAACTTCCGACCCTTTAGTAAGATAAGCTATACTCTCCATTTAGTATCTCTAGATTACACTGTATTTAAATGTCCAACATCGTCTTTCATGCCTCAAAATGTAGGATTTTGAAAAAATGAACAAAAAAGAAAATGTTCTAGATGCTCAATTGTTTGAATACGAAATAGTTACTAAAAAACAAATTATAATTTTTATGATCATGAAAATTGTGTAATATGTGTTTGGATTTGTATGAAGAAATACCTCACGAAATCTAAATTGGTAAAAATAATGAAGTTTATGAATTTATAAATTCTAAAATATAATATTTAACACAAATAGATAGGTTTAATAGATCTAAATTTATGTAGCCTATAATACCAACAAATCGAAAATAAAGGATAATCGAAATGACATATCATAAATAGGCTCGACTTATTAACCTTATAGTCATACAGATAAACTCTTAAATTAAATATCTTTGTCAATTTTTACAAAACTCAATTGAGTAAACACTTATCGATGAAGAAGCAGTGAGTTAAAATTTTCACATTAAAATAAAATAAAGGAGTGAAACATACTTAATTATTATAATTTAATATACCTCCACACTTGAATGTTTATGAATAATTCGAAACATTTTCTTTAATTGCGATATTTATTACTTCATGATATTGAAAATCATTTTTTTTCCTTGCAAAGTATGATATTTAAAAATCTGCTCCAGAAAATAATGATCTGCCTTCAATTATGTTCATTATTTGATTTGATTTTATTCGTATAATTTATGGAAAATTTTTCTAAATCACTATCTTATTTTTTTCCTTTTTTACCTATCCATCTAAATATCTAATGACTTTAACACATCTAAAATTACGTAAGAATATATAATTTAAAATTAAATCTGATATGATTTGATAAGATACTGTATAATTTGATAGGATTGAAATTATATTAGTATTTGATTTCTAATTTGGTATTGGGTATCCAATTATGATTTGAGTTTTATTTGGTGGATAATATTATTAGATATTATATGAATTAAATTTATGATTAGTAATTATATTATTTGATTTAGATTTTTTATTCTTCGTGATTATGAATTTTTCTATCATAAATAGGTGGATAGATTCATCAATACAATACAGTAAAATCGTATTTTGTTATGTATTTTGTTATTCACTTTATTTTCTCTCTTTTCTAAAATTTATTATTTCAACATAGTTTACTTCTTAATCTTTTTTACCAATTTTGTAGATTTAGTTTATCTAAACTTTTTGAAACCTAAAATTTTTTATTTGCATTTTTGTTTTGATCTTTAACTTTAAATTCTCAATTCAGGTGCCCTTTTTTAAATAATATTTTTAATAGAAAACGTTTTCTATAGACACATCCTTAAGAAGAAATACTAGTGCGAGGTGTTTTTATTATAATTTCAAAATTTTTTGTCAAAATGAACATCAGCTATGATTAACATATATTTTTAATCAAGAAGTTGTAAGTTCGATCACCATCTCTCCACGCATTTACTTAAAAAAAGAAATTTCAACATTTTAATAATATTTAGCCTCTTCCATTAAAACATATTAATTACATGAAATATAGTGAAACATATCATTTGTGAGTGAGTTATGTACGTATTATGGTATTTGTTTTGGTTGGCATCTCTTTAATCTTTAATTTTTTTTGAGTATTTTCTTAGTCATCGATATCAATTTCGTTTTTAGTTTTCTATTTTTTAAATGATGTTTGTTTCCTCGCAAATTTTTTTGGTATGTTTTCCATATTCTTAACTACAAATTTGATTTCTTGGCTAAATTTCAAACATAGAAATAAATTTTGAGAACTAGTTTTATAGGCCCGATTTCATTTTTAGTAATATGTTTTTTTAAAATTATAGTTGTTTTCACCATTTATTTAGTAAGACTTAAGTCAAATTTAAAAAATAAAAGTAAGCTTTTCAAAATTATTTCTTCTAGTTTTCAAAATTTGGTTTAAATTATGAAAAAAATTTTAACAAGTTTTTTATAAACAATTAAAAAAAAAGGACACATAAGTACAAGTTGAGGTAAGTATATAGGTTTAATTTTTAAAAACAAAATGATTATTAGATGAGTTATTTGTTTTTAAAATTTGACTTATGTTTTGAAAATATTTTTAAAAAATAAATGATAAAAGAAAGAAACAAGAAGTGTGAGTAGTATTTATAAACTTAATTTCAAATAAACACTAGATTAAGAATAATTAAATTGTTTATCAAAGAGGACTTGAATTTTTGTGATTTATCAATTAGTTTTTCGACAATTTTCTAACTCAATTTTTTTTTTTTGAGAATTGGGAGTCGGAACTTTGCTCCCCTATATCTAGGGGTACCCACAGCCGGTCCCAAGGCAATTTTCTAACAAGATGCTGATAAATTTGACTCCTTAATTAAATTATGTTATAGTCCATCAAAATGAATTTGATTACTTATTTAAGTATTTATGGTTTATTTTTTAATTAACTTGGCTATATATATATATATAATTAATTAATTATCTAATGTTGTCAAAATTTTGTGCATATATCTTATTTATTTTATAAGTTAATTGTTAAAATAGTAATGAATAATTAGAATAGGCACGATAGTAGTCAATATTATGTAGTGTGACCCTACCCAAGATATGTACAATCTTTTTGATGCAAAAGGGTAGTCAAGTTGTAAAACAAGGGACAATTCTCTTCCCATCTCATAACTAAAAGGAAAGGGCACATTTGGTCCGAGAAAAATAAAACAAGTCACATCCTTCCTATAATCTACAGGAGTGACGTAACCAAAACTTTTTGTTAAGAAGATTTAAAATTCGTATGAAGGTAACTTTGACGCATTTATAAATATTGATATCAGTTTATATATTTTAATATTGACAGCTTATTCAACCTAATTTATACATCAAGTTATGTTACATTATATTTTACAGTTTTTGAACTCTACAAAAAAAAAAAAAATGAAAGCAAATTATTTTCCAACTAAAATTGGACTTCATATAAACCCTAAATTCTTTTGTTCTTTACCAAAAAAAAAAAAAAACATTTTGAAAAGTCAAATGGCTCATCCAACAAAAACATGTTATATAGAATTAGACAATATGATAGTATGGGAATTTGTGTGTTTAAGATCCCCAAGGGCAAGGCAACATCATCAATTCAAAACAAATCCTTTGTTACTTTTATTTATTTGTTCTGTCTGGATATTCCTTTCGATTTTCCAACATTATCAATTTATTACTATGAAATTGGTCTCCTGTTTTTTTCACAAAAAAACAAAACATAAAGCTGTGATCGGCTAGAGATTTTAATTTGCCAAAATTTCAAATAATAATGTTTTGTTTGATTAAGATTTCAAAGAAAGAGATCAAACGAATTAAAGGCAACAATAATTGTATAGGATATGGGGATGTAACGTCCCGACTTTTTACAATCAAGACTGTCTAGAAACGTTACACGTACATAGCTTAAGAATAGAGTGAGTTTGTCTCGAGCGATCTTATATATGTTGCACAGCGGGGAGAAGATTTACATTTAATGTCTTGACTCAATAAAAACGCCGATGGTGAGATAGTCCATGAAAAGCAAGCTAAGTAAGCAATCRGCTATTTATAGAGCACCTTTAGACCTAATGTAGCTAGGTCAAATTATAGAGCACTAGACATTTTGACCATAAATACTAGTCATATCCTCATCTATGTGAATTAAACGACACCCACACAAACTAGAGTTCATACTATATTCAGTATTGGG